GGATGCAAGGATAAGGAGGGTTTAGATGTGTACGGATGTTGACAGGAGGAATAGTGTTCTACATGGACCAATGGATGCAGGGGCAAGGCCGAAGGTCAAATTTAGGACTGGGGCCAACAGCGTTTGAGACCGTTGACGAAGATTCACGAAGGAAGACGATGAAGACAAGCTCGAATGTGAACACGGCTCCGAGCGCGAAGACCAGGCTCATATGGGTTCGAAACGTCCGTGTTGGGCGACAAGGACAGAGAAATGCACAGGGCTGAGTTGGACAAGTAGAAGGAAAGGTACAGGGAGATGCTTGAGGCATGGAATAGCCAGGAGAAGACGGTAGCTGTTCTCGGTGATTGGAAGTGGGTTGAAAGTGCGGGAAGTGATATCGACAGGATAGACAGGCTAGGGAAAGCTTTGTTGAGCCACCTTTGGCACAGTAGTACTGCTTCGAAGGAGGAAAGAACGATTGGCCATCGGTGATCGGTCCTGTTGGAACACTGATGCGTCCTCTCGAGGAAGTGTGGTCAATGGTCTAACCGCTAAGGCATGCGAAACTTGAGGAGAGAGAATACGCCCTCCCCCTCCGCGCATACAAGCATTTTCCCACGAGGTCCTCTCCCCGCCACCGCCTCGAATCTGAAACTATGTGCTGTTTGGGTCATCCCCATCCTTTCTGAGTTCGTATCTTGCAGCCACCGCGTTTCGGGGCTCCATTCTTATCTGTATGGGCATTCGTACACCGTAAGGGTGGGCTCTTGTTCTGTTATTAATTAGCAAGGCTACATAGGTCCATCAATGTTCAGCAGTATCATAGCAGTGGAGATCTGAACGGTTACACCACGTCTCGAGGAACGTTCTCAAGAACAGTAGTCGGTTCAACGGAACCACGTAGGACCCCCTTGGTTCCTGCAACAACAGTACTTGTATTGCGGATCCCGGAACGTTTCCGGACCGGTCTTCAGTTTCTAGAACAGCCTCTAGAACTAGTCTAGAACATGTGGGGTCGCCCCGGTGGTCTAGTGGGTAACATCGCAGCCTGCTAAGGGCCAGGTCATGGGTTAGAGTCCCGGCAGAGTGAGGTTTTTTCTCACTACAATAAATAAATCCTGGTCTAGGATGAAAGCGACGCGCTGCAAAGCTCGTTGTTAGTAAACCATAATCGACTTCGTAAGTCGCGAGGGAAGGGATTGCTGTACCCTTCTCGCGATAAAAATACCTCAGGCAGGAACCGCAGGAGGGGGTCCAGCCCCCCCCTCCTATGTGACCCCGGTTGGGTCGTCTAGCTAGTAGAAGTGGAGGATAGGGGCCAAAGGGGCAGACGACAGAGTCCAATGATGGGAGAAAAAAAAAAAAATGTGTCTGTGTCTGCTATTCTACGTAGAAAGAGAAGAGATGCAGCCAAGCTCGCCCCCCTTCTCTCTCACTCTGCTTTCTCTCCTGTCGTCTTCCCTAGACTGCCAAGGTCTATCGTTCTCTACAAGTCTTTGTTGGCCGCAAGCGCCCATTCCACATCAACAAGTCGACAGCAGTAGTGTTACGGTTACATGGTTACGGTTGATAGGAGTTGCACCTTTGGAAGAATGCGTTGTTCCCAACAGGTACTAGCAGTAAGGTCCGGTTTGCCGGGCCCCGTCTTGAGGCTTGGATTGCTCAGTCCCACTGCTTTACTACTTCTCCTTGCTTGCCCCGAGTTAGTAATAATCAACAAGCGAATACCGTATCCACTACCGGAGACCTTCCACTCCTTGTCACAAGCCACCTTCGAGGCTCACTTCTGCCGCTGTTCCGGCTCATCTACCGAACTCGGTACCGATCGAGAGGCAGCTACCATCAGGTCGGTAGCAGTGCTTGTAGGCGGGGGTCCCATGTACAATCCTCTATGGACAATTCCTCTTGACACCCAGGGTCCTGTCACTCGAATGATCAGAGACCACACAGGCCCACACAGACATTGCGCCAGCCCCTACCCCTAGCCTCTCCATCCGTTTTAGTAGCATCACCTGCTGCCTGCGAGCTAGTTGGACAGACTAGCGTCTGTCGGTGTCAGCTTTTGCCACCACCTGCGGGGACCCACACGGGAATTCCTGTTGGAAGGGTTTGTAGTACAAGAACTGCTCTATTCTACTTCATTGGGTTTGATGCAGTATTGTGCAGGCGTTGCCAAGTCTGTAACCGTCAGGTGAAGACAGCTTGGGCGTCGGTGTGAAGGTAATAAATCACTATGTGTTTCTCTACCCAAACCTCAGCCACACACGCCACCCGCAGCGTACCACAGCCGCTGCACTGCTGGTGCAGTTGTAGGCGTACTGCTGTTAATTCCCACAATAGGTTCTCACACCTCGATTCAGCGCGGCACCAGTGCGAGGTACTTCGGAGGGGGACACGTTCTTCCAAGCATCAAGCACAAGCTAGCTTCTACGCGTCCACAGACACCTGCTGTTCGGGACTGTAGACTAGTCTATTTATAGTATACAACGAGGACTTTTTTTTGAAGATCCACATCTGCGGAGTCCACCTGCTTGCGACTGCTGAGGACACTGGACTGATCATCCGCTAGACTCAGCGTAAGCACACCAACAGTACGATTTGTTGGTGCAGCGCATTCGGGGGCACAAATTATCTAGACGCCGGTCACTATAGGCGGCGTATAGAACTGTGCAGCTACCTTTCAGCGTGTTGAGCTACTGTCATAGCTCAGGACGGGTGAAAGTGTAGTTTTTTGGGTAGTTGCGTTTCAGCAACTCGCCTATTGACAGAAGCCTGCATGCATCATCTTGCAGCAAGCCTTGACAGCACTTCAGAGTAGTGCCTAAGGTTCAGACGTGGCCGGAGAGCATACGTTGTTTTTGCTGTGGCCGAAATAAAGCCTGCACGCAGCGACGTGTAGCAAGTCGGAGCAGTGCATATCGTTGTACCTGCAAGTCGGGGTTGCAGGCTAGCGACCTGTTACCGAGTGGCCTGCACGCAGCGACGTGTAGCAAGTCTGTCCAGCACTGAACAGTAGTGCCTGGGGGACAGACGGCCAGACAGCGAGACTGCTGGGCCAAAACGGAAGCCTGCAGCATTATACTACTACTGCTGTAGCAACGAAATCTGAACAGCATCACATTTGCGGGTCAAACTTTTAGTTTGTGCCGTTGAAACGTGCTTAGGATTAGCCTGCGCGTTTGACGCGTAGCAAAGGCATCATGGACAAGTCGACCAACATTAATAACACACTCAAAAACCATCCCAAAGTTCGGGGGGAAGGGTTTTCGTGAGTGGAGGTCGAAAGTGAGGATGGCCGTCAGCTACCACAACAAGGGTATCTTCGACTGAACGGGGAGGAGTCCCCAGGACACGTCGAACACTGACGCGATCGAGAAGTGGAACTCCGACAACTGGGACCTGTTCTTCATCCTCTTCTTCGCGACCACGGGTTCAGCGCACACCGCCGAAAACCATTTCGAAGGCAAGAAACAAGGTGAAGGACTTGGAAACGTAGTGTAGCTGCGTGGTTAGCCCTTGCCGAAAAGTACGACAGCTACACCAAAGAAACGCGTGGTGCTTGCTACGACGAGCTGACAACCAAGAAGATGGCACAAGGCGAAGACCCAGACGACATCCTCACCACCGTAGAAGACCTGCGGGAGCACCTGAAAGATATGGGAGAAGAAATCTCGGACGAGAGATTCGAGGACATCGTTCTACAGGCGATCTCCAACGGCTACGACTACGTTCGCCAAACCAGCTTCCGCGTTCTGACTTCGGGCTGGAGGAAATCAAGACAACGATGACAAACATGTACATCGACAGCTTGTCACGGACCTCGACGAAGTCCGTCGCCGGGGAGTAGCCATGCCGGCATCGAATGGGGACAGTCCCAATCAAGTGCTCAAACTGTAGGCAGCACGGCCATCGTCGCCGCGACTGCCCTGAACTTCCTCGGCACAAGCAACATCAGCACAAGGGGCCTAAGAAGAAACACTGGAAGAAACCAAATGGACAGCCTGGCCCGAAGTGGTGCTCTCTCCACAAGACTACATCTCACAGTGATGAAGATTGCTACAAGCAACAGAAGGACGCCCACAGCAAGCCAAATGGAAGAATCAACTTTGCCGATGTGGGAAGTGCGCACATACCGCAGGCCGACGATTCAGACGAGGAAACAATCGACTTCTCCATTGCATCAGTCACGGCCTTGTCGCTGATTCCGACTGTTAGCAGCTCCACGAAGCCGGACAAGAAGGTCAAGTCCGCCATAATGCCCGCGGACCTACACCGAAGGACTTGCTCAAGAAACCAGCAGACGACTCGGGCCTATTCGCAGCATTCGGAGAGACTTACGTGGCTGGATCAGCAACTGCAGTTCTTCACCGACACACTGGAAAGACCAACGGCAGCTCCATAACTATTCTGGTGGACAGCGGATCGTCGGAGCACTACATGGACACCGACCTTTACCCTGGACTGAGGGAGCGAATGCTGAACTACAAGATTTTGAAGGAGCCCCACAAGATTATCACCGCTGGAGAGATTGTCATCGAAGGCATAGGGAAGGGCACCATCATCGGCACCTTCAACGACCAACATGGGGAAAAGCAGCCGGTGTCGTTGTCAGCAATAGCGGTACCTGGACTTGGCAAGCACCTCTTCTCTCCACTCATCGCGCCGAAAACGGAAGTGGTGACTATCTTCGATTCATCACAACCGCGCTTGGAGATGGGGGACGTCATCGTACCCTTGAGGTGACTCGGCAACGACACCATTCTATGCTCCGTCTCTCTCGACCTGCCGAACATGGCAAGGCGGGCCGAGTCAGCAGACCTGTGGCACCGCAGGTTGGGACACATCAACAACAGCAGGAGGTGGAATGTGCTACGGAAAATCCTCGACAACGGAGTAGACTACACCGGAACTATGGAAGCATGCGACGTTTGCGGCATTGGGAAAGCTCACAACGCCCTCATCCGAAGAAGGCGACGTACGACGTGTCCAGACCTTTTCAGCTGGTTTCACCCGATCTGATGGGACCAATTTCTCTGCCAGCACTGGGAGGGTTTCGATACGTCAACAAGTTGGTCGATGAAAAGACCAAGTGGAAGGAAACCTTTCTCATGAAGACCAAGCGGGATGCTATCAAAGCACTTCAGCTGTTCAACCAGTCTCTGGTTGTCCCCACTAGATTCAGGCTAGACTGCCTCAGGGGAGACAAAGGAACAGAATGCACCTGCCGTGAATTTCGGGAGTACTGCCTTCAAATCGGAGCAAAGCTGGAGTACGCTTCAACAAACACACCACAACAAATGGGAGCAAACGAGCGTGCGGGGCGGACCCTTGCAGCCATGGTACGCTGCATACTCACGGATTCGGGATTACCGCAATTCCTGTGGGGACAGCTGATGCAGACAGCGGCGTATCTGAGCAACAGAGTGCCACATGCAGCGCTGGGAAACATCACGCCGTACAAGGCCTTGTACGGCAAGGACGCCAACCTTGGACACCTTCGAGCAATTGGAGCCAGAGCTTTCGTGCACGTCGAAACGCATACACGCAACCTTGACTCAAAGGTCTGGTAAGGACGTCTTTGTGGATACAGCATGGACAGCAAGTCATTCCGCATCTACAATCCAGAGGCAGGAAAGGCAGGGAAAGCAGGATCGTCAATTTCATCGAGACGCCGTATGCTCGTCAAGACCTAACGCCGAGCAACATGGCCGGAAACGACGAGGTCGGGTACACACCAGGCAAAAGATCCGAAGAAGCTGAGTGTGGATACGATAACAACGACGACCTTTTGCGTGATGTGATGGACTACACGTCATACCTCGACCTAGAGTCGCCAACGAGTCACCTTTCGGTCATCCCTTCATAATCGGACACTAGCGACATGCAACAGCTGGTCAGCAACATTCAAGAAGTCACCAGTCAGGACCTTCTTACCAGCAACAACGAGACCACGTCACCGAGTGGACCAGAACATGACAATTCGTCATCCGAGGGGGAACAACCTGCACCTCCTCCAAGCGTCACTGGACGTAGGCTGCGCTCGAGCACACGAGTGCCTGATCATGCGGGGATGAGATCTACAGCCAAGGTCGATAAACCATCCCTCACCAATCAAAGTGGTCGAGACACTGCCGTAAAGCCCAAGACCATCAGAGAGCTGAGGCGCCTCGCCCTCTACACGGACACCCCATTAGCCGACGTCGGACATCGCGAGGAAAGATTCGACTTCCTGGAATACGCCTTCGTCGCCAATAACACCCAAATCCATGGTCGTTCGGAGGGGGAGAAGGTCAAGACCATACCAAACACCTGCAAGAAGGCCATGGAGTTGCCGGAAACGAAGCTCTGGAAGGCTGCGACTGACAAAGAAATAAAAAGCCTGCAAGACCTCAAAGTGTATAAACTCGTGCCACGCACCGACGTTCCCCTGGGACATAACGTGATTGGCTCGAAGTGGGTCTTTAAGGTCAAGCCAGAAAACACGCATAAGGCGCGCTTGGTTGCTAAAGGATGGAACCAAGTGCCAGGACGGGACTGCGGAGGGACGTTTGCTCCTGTCTGCCGACTTCAGAGCATCCGCATGGTATTCGCCATAGCAGCAGAGAAGGACTTGGATGTCATTCAGCTGGACGTCAAAACCGCCTTCCTCTACGCGGATATTGAGGAAAATGTATTCGTCGAAATGGCACCAGGCTACGAAGCCAAGAACATGGAGGAACTCCAGCTCGTGATGAAGCTGGAAAAGAGCCTCGATGGGCTGGCTCAAAGCCCCCAGGACTGGTTGAAGACCATCGACTCGAGCCTAGTGGAAATCGGATTCTTTCCGCTCAAGTCCGACACCTGCGTCTACATTTACGACCACAACAACACGGTCGTCGTTCTCACTCTCTACGTGGACGATCTCCTCATCATCAGAGGTGACATTCGAGTGATCGAGACAATCAAGAAAAAACTGATGGACAAGTTCAAGATGACGGGCATGGGCGATGTATCGCTCATCCTAGGGATGCAAGTGACATGCGACCGAGAACAGGGGGAGCTCACCATCAGCCAGGAAACTACACCACCTCTATTCTGGACAGATTTGGCATGGGAAGCTGCAAGCCTCTCAGCACCGCCGGATTCGGTCCAGAGCTGTCGGTGAAGCAGCCAGAGGAGACTCTACTCAACGCCGAGGGCAAGCAGCGATATCAGGCCATCATTGGTTCCGTCATGTACTTGGCTCAAGTCACCCGCTACGACATCATGTACTGCGCCAGTCAGTTTGCACGGGCGATGTCAAACCCTTCCAAGATCCACATGGGAGCAGCGAAACATCTTCTTCGCTACCTCTCCGGGTCCAGGGACTTCAGCATCACGTATAAGAGAGGAGGATTTGACCTCACGGCATCCTCCAACGCCAACGGGGGCCACAACACGGACAACGGAAAGTCCATGTCATCGTACATCATGATGATGTCCACGGCACCAGCGAGCTTGAAGTCCGGACTTCAAAGCCTGACTGCCATGTCTACTGTGGAGGCCGAGCTGGTGGCTTCAGCACTCGCGATGAAGGAAGTGATATTCTGCACCAACATGATGAAGGAACTGGGATTCGGATCTGAGTTCAGCAGCGCGCCATTATTCATCGACAGCACCGCTACACTCAACGTTATCGGCAACCAGACTTTCAGCGGGCACACAAAGCATATGGCATTACGCTTCTTCTACATCCGCAAGATCGTGAAGGAGGGAAGAATATCCATCCACTACATCCCGACCGAGGATAACCTCGCCGATATCGGGACGGAGTACCTCAACAAACAACGTCACCAGTATCTCATCGACAAGATCAAGAACTTCGGGAAGTGACAAGCTTAAGGATCTTCGACAATGATATTCGACCAAGAATCTTCAATGCACAAAATTCAGAGATCGCCCTGTTTTGACGCAGCGATCAGGGACTACTAGCCATCATTCGTGCAGTGTTCCATACTAAGCAGATTTAACGACGTTTTTGCGCTGAATGATGTCTTTCGGTACTTAGTACAGCATATTTCACGTAAACGGAGATGATACGTCTATTGAGTACATCATGTAGACTAGAAGATTGCATACCATGAAGTGCAGCATTTCAAAGGTTTCCGCTTCAAAATGGTGTAGGCGGCAGTATGTCTTCGGATGTGAAGTAGTATATATTTTAGGATAGTATCACGAAACTTCCATTGAGGATGAGTTGTTAAGGAGTACCCGATTCGCAGGGTATCTGTCGATTGACTTTTACCTGAATCGGTACACCTTCGCATGTGGCGTCAGCCGCATACTGGTTCGAATCTCCTGACGTCCACGCTTTTTCTCCTGACTTGAACATTTTTCCATGGATACAATGTGCGACAGTCCTGAGAACACCTCTTGGAGTCGATCCTACATAAAACCTTGTGACATTCCATCGAATCACCCATCCTGGCCCCAAGAGGTACCCAGTTTAGGGTAAGTTCTGTGGGTGGAGAGTGTTAAGGAGGACCCGATTCGCAGGGTATCTGTCGATTAAATTTTACCCGAATTGGTTCACCGTCGCAGAGTGTTATGGATTAGCAAGGCTACATAAGTCAATGTTCAGTAGTATCATAGCAGTGGAGGTCAGAACGGTTACACCACGTCTCGAGGAACGTGCTCAAGAACAGTAGTCGGTTCAAGCGAACCACGTAGGACCCCCTTGGTTCCTGCAACAGTACTTGTATTGCAGATCCCGGAACGTTTCCGGACCGGTCTTTTAGTTTCCAGAACAGCCTCTAGAACTAGTCCAGAGCATGTGTGTGTGTCTGCTATTCTAGGAAGCGAAGAGGTGCAGCCAAGCTCGCCCCCCTTCTCTCTCACTCTGCTTTCTCTCCTGTCTTCTTCCCTAGACTGCCAAAAGTCTATCGTTCTCTACAAGTCTTTGTTGGCCGCAAGCGCCCATTCAACATCAACAAGTCTAGACTACAGCAGTAGCACCACCTGCCACCTGCGAGCTAGCCGGACAGACTAACGTCTGTCGGTGTCAGCCTTTGCCACCACCTGCCGGGATCCACACGGAAATCCCACAATAGGTCCTTTATGAAAACTGAGGGCTACACGCTTCACCCAACCCCGTGGGCAAGTGAGGCTTAGCCCTTGAGGCCCATAAGTTCACTTCGTATAGATATCTTATCCCTGCTCGCCTCTTTTCAACGCAAGCCCTCCGCCGTCTGTATTTCAAGCTCCTCGGCCCTCTTGCCAACCCCACTGTCTCCCGTGTTGACTCCCATTTCTTCCCCATTCTTCCCGTTTTTCTCCCACACACCTGCGCCCTCGTGCTTGGCCGTGGTATGGCCGTCTGGAGAAACGAGACTTGATGGTCTACAGTACATGAAGGCGGCAACGACCTGTTGTTTTCTGCCGATAACGACGATAGGTGGTGGGCGTCGGAACACAGCAAATCTTGTTTTGTGCCCATTGTGTGTATTTTCGGGCAGTTTCGCGCGGTGTGTCAAGTATGTCATATTTTCACGGGTAGGTTTAGTACAGTAGAGTATGTTTAGTAGAGTATCGAGAATCTGTACTAACGGTTGAGTAGAGTAGAGTATGGGAGAGGTGAATACTCTACTCACCTGAGTAGAGTACAGAGGTTAGGTACTAAACTCAAAGAGTATGTTTAGTAGAGTATGAAAAGCCGTACAAAACCGCAAGAGTATGTTGAGTAGAGTATGAAGAGCCATACTATAAAGTGAGTATGAGTAGAGTGAAAAGCCGTACTATACTCAAAAAGATGTTTAGTAGAGTATTGAAGAGCCGTACTTACAAAAGTTTTAGTAGAGTACGAAGAGCTGTACTAAACGCTACAGTATTCTTAGTAGAGTATGAAGACCTGTACTAAACGCTACAGTATGTTTAGTACAGTATGAAGAGCTGTACTAAACGCCACAGTATATTTAGTACAGTATAAAGAGCTGTACAAAACGCCACAGTATGTTAAGTACAGTATGGAGAGCCATACTAAACGCTACAGTACGCTTAGTACAGTACATGTACTGACAATACTGACAGAACAACTACTCCGTACAAGCGTTGATTTGATTGCATGATAAAACTTAAACATAAACTGCTGTGGCGCTCCTCCACTCGTTGAGCCCGGCACGACGACCACCTCGTTGTCTTGTTGCGCGTCTTGTGTTGAAGAACACGGTGCGAGGGTACTCGTACCGGGAGAACCATCCGCATCGGGAGCAGATGCGGCCGAACCACCGCTCGCGTCACTCATGCTCAGCTGCCACTATCTCCCCTGCGGGCCACTACCTCAGTACCCCAGTATCTGAGTACGCGAGCGCGCGAGTATCGGAGCCTGGAGCCCACCACCACTCTGTGCGGCGAGACTGTCTACTTTCTGCTGAATAGTGACGTCACCAACACACCCTTTGGTGGAAGGTAGTACGTACTCTGACGTTGAGTAGTACGTACTCTGAGTTGAGTACGGTGGGCTGTACTATGGCCTGAGTAGAGTATGGGCAGCCATACTAAACGCAACAGGATGTTTAGTAGAGTATGAGAAGCAATACTAAAGTGATAGTATAGTACAGTATAGGAAGCCATACTAAACTCAAAGAGTATGTTTAGTAGAGTATGAAAAGCCGTACTAAACTGCAAGAGTACGTTGAGTAGAGTATGAAGAGCCGTACTATAAAGTGAGTATTAGTATAGTATGAAAAGCCATACTATACTCAAAAAGATGTTTAGTAGAGTATTGAAGAGCCGTACTTACAAAAGTTTTAGTAGAGTATGAGAAGCAATACTAAAGTGATAGTATAGTACAGTATAGGAAGCCATACTAAACTCAAAGAGTATGTTTAGTAGAGTATTGAAGAGCCGTACTTACAAAAGTTTTAGTAGAGTATGAATATACGCGACAACGGGTGGGCGTGAGAACACAGCAAGGTTGATGTTGTGCCCATCGGATGTGTTCTCGGAAAAAAAATGGCAGTGTGGTAGATATGGCTCATATACGACACCGGCGAGGTTGTGCTGCGGCCACATTCTTGGGTGTATCTCGGGAACCCCATGTTGGTTTCGACCAAATGACGTCTTGTGTGGCAGCTGGGGGCCCTGGAAACAGCGCAGTTGATTTCGTGCCTAGAGTAGACTATATGTCCCTATTGAGCCCCAGCAGAGCCATACTCTCCCTTCTTCCCCTCGCTCCTCGACAAGCTTTTGCTTAGACATGGGTTGTAGTGAAGGGGGGGGTCTTTCTGGTGAGCAGGGCTAGACTCACCCTCAAGGGATGACCGAAACCTTCNAGCAACTGGCATACGGTTTAATGTGAAGTCAACAACAACAACAACAGAGCCAGTTAAGCCCTACTTTTTTTGTAACCGTCATAACTTTCCGCCAACTAGTCTACATGGAACTCCATTTTTTTTTGAAAAAATTTTGAAGAGCACACCCGTTAGCTTGCGTTTGAGCATCTGTACGCACGAATCAGCTGCGCCACTCCCGAGATACAGCACCACAACCACCACCGTCGGCGGATACTGCAAGGTTGGAGTTTTGGCCGCTCCTGTTGCTAAGGATGGTCAGGTCTAAGGTGGACCCAGAGCAGGCGCAGAAGGCCACCGAGGCTGTCCGCAGCGGCGCCTCTCCGGGCTGCTGCACAGGCCTATGGCGTGAACAAGCGCTCTCTCTCTCGCCGGCTGAGCGGTGATGTAAGCATGGATGCAAAGGTTGGTCCAAGGACTGTGCTCACAGTTGAGGAGGAAAATTTTGTTGAAGATGCACTGCTGTACGCTGCTCGTCACTTCATCGGGATCGACCGGACCGCGCTGCAAGAACATGTGCGCCAGCTGCGCAACGACGGTCGGGATATCCGGTGGGTTGCAGCAGTCGGCCCGGGGCGATCATGGCTAGACGGCTTCTTCAAGAGGCATCCTGCGCTTTCGGAACGCAGCGCCCGCATCTACGAGGCCAACAGGATCATGAGCGACGACGAGACACGCCTGCAGACGTTCTACAAGGACTTTGGCGAGTTCGTTGACAAGGAAAAGATCCCTGCCGATCACCTGTGGAACACAGGTGAGANCTTCATCGGGATCGACCGGACCGCGCTGCAAGAACATGTGCGCCAGCTGCGCAACGACGGTCGGGATATCCGGTGGGTTGCAGCAGTCGGCCCGGGGCGATCATGGCTAGACGGCTTCTTCAAGAGGCATCCTGCGCTTTCGGAACGCAGCGCCCGCATCTACGAGGCCAACAGGATCATGAGCGACGACGAGACACGCCTGCAGACGTTCTACAAGGACTTTGGCGAGTTCGTTGACAAGGAAAAGATCCCTGCCGATCACCTGTGGAACACAGGTGAGACAGGTGAGGTCCACATAGAAAGGTGTTGCTGATGGATCTAAGCAGTAGGCAAGGGCT